CGGCGAGGTGAGGGACCCCCAAAATCAGCGAGGTGGGGGTGACAAAAATTGGGGAAAACGGGCAAAAACCCAAGAAAAACGGGAATCACAGATTTTGGGCGGGTGTGTGTGACACTCGGAGACAGGATGGGGTTGGGGGAGGGGTCTGTCACCACGCGTGTCACAGGCGGGGGGTGACACGGACACGGGGGCAGAGGGACAAAATGGCCAAAGGGACAAAATCAGTGGCCAAAGGGACAAAATCAGTGGCCAAAGGGACAAAATCAGTGGCCAAAGTGCTGATGGCTGGAGGTCAAGGGGCTGTGACCAGAGGGACACGCAGAGGGGGCTCCCAGTGCTCCCAGTTTGGGGCACCTGGAGGACTGGGGGGTTTGGGGACAGGGAAGGGGCCGGACACAGGGATGGGCATTGGGTGGGAGAGCAAAATTGGTGGCCAAAGGGACAAAATCGATGGCCAAAGTGCTGATGGCTGGTGGTCAGGGGGGACTGGGACCGGGAACTGGGATGGTCCCAGTGTTCCCAGTTCGGAGCGTGTGGAAGACACTGTTGGACACAGGGACGGGTGTGATGGACACAAGGACAGGTGTGATGGACAGATGGACACGGGGACAGGTGTGATGGACAGATGGACACAGGGATAGGTGTGACAGACACAGGTATGGCGGGGCAGGGAACCAGGTGACACAGGGACACACCCGTGGCCGGGGAGGACAATCACAGGTGACACAGGGACACACCCAGTGGCCAAAGCACTGATGGCAGGTGGCCGCAGGGCAGTCACAGGTGACACAGGGACGCACCCCCAGCAGCCAGGGGGACAATCCCAGGTGACACAGGTGACACAAGGACACCCCCAGCATCGGGGGGAGGCAATCCCAAGTGACACAGGGACACACCCGGTGGCCAAAGCGCTGATGGCAGGTGGCCGGGGAGGGCTCAGGGTGGGCACAGGTGACACAGGGACACCCCCAGCAGCCGGGGGGACAACCCCAGGTGACACAGGGACACCCCCAGCAGCCGGGGGGACAATCCCAGGTGACACAGGGACACACCCTGCAGCCGGGGGGGGGGTGCTCAGGGCGGGCACAGGTGACACAGGGAGACCCCCAGACACCGGGGAGACAATCCCAGGTGACACAGGTGACACAAGGACACCCCCAGCAGCCAGGGGGACAATCACAGGTGATACAGTGACACCCCCAGCAGCCAGGGGGACAATCCCAGGTGACACAGGGACAATCACAGGTGACACAGGGACACCCCCAGACACCGGGGGCATAATCCCAGGTGACCGAAGGGCAACCCCAGGTGACACGGGGACACCCCCAGCAGCTGGAGGGGCTCAGGGCAGTCACAGGGGACACAGGGACACACCCGGTGGCCAAAGCACTGATGGCAGGTGACCGAAGGGCGGGCACAGGTGACACAGGGACACCCCCGGGACTAGAGTGCTGGTGGCAGGTGACCGAAGGGCGGGCACAGGTGACACAGGGACACCCCTGGGGACCGGAGCGCTGGTGGCAGGTGACCGAAAGGTGGGCACAGGTGACACAGGGACACCCCCGGAGACCAGAGCGCTGATGGCAGGTGACCGAAGGGCGGGCACAGGTGACACAGGGACACCCCAGCGCCCCTGGGGGACAACTCCAGGTGACAGAGGGACACCCCCAGACACCGGAGGCACAACCCCAGGTGACACAGGGACACCCCCAGTAGCTGGAGGGGCTCAGGGCAGTCACAGGTGACACAGGGACACCCCCGGAGTGCTGATGGCAGGTGACCAAAGGGCGGGCACAGGTGACCCAGCGACAAACCCCCGATCCCCGCTCACGGCACGTGGAACACGTTGAGCTTGCTGGTGTTCTTGAGCGTCTGGCGGCGGTTGCAGAACCACACGCGCACCACCTCGCGCTCGTAGCGCAGCTCCTGCGCGATCCGSGTGATTTCCGCGCCCGTGGGCAGCGCGTTGCGCTCGAAGTGCGCGTTGAGCGCCTCCAGGGCCTGCGGGGTGAAGGACGTGCGGCGCTTGCGCTTCTTGCCCGGCTCTCCCCCCACGAACTCCAGCAGCCGCTGCTGCCCCTCGCGCTGCCGCTGCTCCGCCTCCCGCAGCCACTTCTCCAGCACCGGCTTCAGCTTCTGGGCGCTCTTGGGGGTGATGTCCAGCTTCTCGAACCTGGGGACATTGGGGACA